CTATGATTCTATGATTCCTACATCTGATGCTTGTGCTTCACCCTTTCCCACAGGACAAAGCTCAGCTGCTCCTGTGCCTCATCTCTGGCAACCGAGATGATTTGTATGGGGTCATCAAGAAGCTGTGCTGTGTGCAGTCCCCAGTGCCCTCCCAGGTAGGTGAGGGGCTGGGTGGAAAGGGACCCCCAGGGTGGGGAAGTTGTGGGCATCTCCACCCTCACTCTCCCTTGGTTTTTCCTCCTCTGCAGGTCATCAATGCACAGACCCTCATGGGCCAGATGGGCAAGATGAGGAGTGTGATCCAGAAAGTCCTGCTGCAGCTGAACTGCAAGCTGGGTGGCGAGCTCTGGGGGGTTGATGTCCCCCTGGTAAGGCTGGCAAAGCTGTTTGGCACACGTGTGTGATGAGTTTGTAAGCTCTGAGGTGTAAAGTGGTGTAATCGTGGGCTTCCCTCTGGGAATGTGGATGAACCAGTGTTGCCAACTGTATTCCTGGGCTGCATCAAGAGCAGCGTGGGCAGCAGGTTGAGGGAGGTGATTCTCCTCCTCTACTCCACTCTTGTAAGGCCCCACCTGCAGTGCTGTGTCCAGTTCTGGAGCCCCCAACACAAGAGAGACCTGGAGCAGCCAGAACAGTCCAGAGGAGGCCACCAGGGTGATGCGAGGGCTGGAGCAGCTCTGCTGTGAGGACAGGCTGAGAGAGTTGGGGCTGTTCAGCCTGGAGAAGAGAAGGCTCCGGGGAGATCTTATAGCGGCCTCCCAGTACCTGAAGGGGCTACAAGAAAGCTGGGGAGGGACTTTTCATAAGGGCAGTTAATGACAAAACAAGGGGAAATGGGTTTAAACTGGAAGAGGGGAGGTTTAGATGAGATCTGAGGAAGAAGTTCTTCACTGTGAGGGTGGTCAGACACTGGAACAGGTTGCCCAAGGAAGCTGTGGCTGCTCCTCCCTGGAAGTGTTCAAGGCCAGGCTGGATGAGGCTTTGAGCAACCTGGTCTAGTGGAAGGTGTCCCTGCTGCTGGCAGGGGGGTTGGTGGGACTGGATGAGCTTTAAGGTCCCTCCCAACCCAAACCACTCTGGGATTCTATAACCATCTATAGATTTGGGGTTGGCCTCTCCATTTTGTGCATCCAACATCCCTCGTAGCTGGAGGGATCCAGTCAGGGCAGCCTGGAGGTGTCTGATTTATCCCCAACTCTCATCTGTTGGGTTTCTTTCCCTGCTAGAAGCAGCTGATGGTCATTGGCATGGACGTCTACCACAGCCACAGCAGAGGGATGCGCTCCGTCATCGGCTTCGTGGCCAGCATGAATCTGTATGTGGGGGCCTGGGGAGGGAGGGAGGGGGAAGGCTTTCCTCCTGTTCTGCCCTGGGGACATGGTTGGGGGGGGATCCCACACCAGCATCACCACTATCTCCCTTTTTTGGGGGAAAAGGGGTGAAGCTGGTGAAGCTCAGCCTGGTTCTGTTGGGCTTTTGGCGCCATTATCGCTGGGAAAGGTGCTGTGAGCACCCAGCTGGGCTTGGTTTTGGTTTCACAACATCTCAGTGGACTTTAGCTGGTGAGAGAGGGTGGCCTGACACTTGTCCCCTCTCTCTTTTTATCCCCAGCATCCTCACCAAGTGGTACTCCAGGGTGGTTTTCCAGATGCCTCACCAGGAGATCGCTGACAGCCTGCGGCTCTGCCTGGGCGATGCCCTGCAGCAGTTTCACGAGGTAAAGCTGAACCCTCAGCTTAGTGCTAGCACAAAAAAAACCCCAAAACAACCCTCCTGTGGTTTATATCTCCTCAAAACAAGAGAAAAACACCCCAAACCTGTCAGCCCGAGTGTGTGTGAGCGAGCAAACACCCTCAGCAGCCTTTGGACTGGATGTGACGTCCGCAGCCACGTGCGCTCAGGGAGACTCACCCTTATCTCAGGATTAGTTTGCACCAGGGGAACTGCCACGTTTACTCCTCTGCTTTGATCAGCATCGACCTGCTGAGCCCTGTCCTCTTGTCCCATGTCCCCCAGCGTGAGAAAAGCAGCGTGTGACAAGGCTGGGGGGTGTAAGGGGGGGGAGGTCAGGACTTGCTCTTGGTGTTTTCTCATCCATTTGCGGGTGCTGGAGAAACAGCCCTGAAAACTGGATGTTTGCTGGTCACCACATGTTTGCCCATGGGCAGGATTAGTGCAAACACTGCTGCTCTCTGCCCTGCCAGCCCCTCTGAAACCTGTTTTGAAATGTATTTGTTGAGGGTGAGTATTGTAGGGACTTCACACATGGCTTGAATTCACCACCTGCCTTAAAATTCCCAGCGAGACCACTTGATGTGTCAGCCCTAAAGATCTGGTGGGTTTCTAGTGCCCAGCTTCATGCCAGAAGAAGCATCTCCCCCTGTTAACCAGTCTTGAGCACTGAGGATATTAAAAAACCTTCTGATTTGTTTTTTCCCTCCCCTAGAAGAACCACTGCTTGCCCAAGAAGATCATCGTGTACAGGGACGGCGTGTCCGACAGCCAGCTCAACACTGTGCTCAAGTATGAGATCCCACAGATGCAGAAATGCTTCGACACCTTTGAGAACTACCAACCCAGCATCGTGGTCATGGTGGTGCAGAAACAAGTCAGCACCAATTTCTACACCCTGACAGCAGAACAACTGGTATCAGCTCCTCCTGGGACGGTCATCGATCATACGGTCACCAGCTCGGAATGGTGAGTGGGAGTGGGAGAAATCCCAGCTGCTTTGGGGAGAGTTGTGTGGAGTGTAAAAAAATAACAAGAAAGAGGGGAAAAGAATTAGAGGGAGAAAAAAAAGGGGTATGGAAAAAAATGATGTGTGAAAAAATGAGGGTGCAGAAAAGAAAATGGGGTGTGGGAAAAATAGGGTGGAAAAAAAATGGGGTGCAGAAAAAATGACATGCAAAAAAAAATAGGGTGAAAAAATAGAGTGAAAAATAGGGTGGAAAAAAAAATTGGGCACAGGAAAAAGTGATGTGCAGAAAAGAAAATGGGGTGCAGAAAAAATGATGTGGAAAAAAGGTGAAAAAAACAGGGTGAAAATGGGGTGCAGGAAAAAATGATGTGAAGAAAATAGGGTGAAAAAATGGGGTGCAGAAAAAGATGTGCAAAAAAATCTAGGGTGCAGAAAAGAAAATGGGGTGCAGAGAAAATGAGGTGAAAAATATAGAGTGAAAGAAATAGGGTGAAAAAAATGGGGTGCAGAAAAAGATGTGCAAAAAAATCTAGGGTGCAGAAAAGAAAATGGGGTGCAGAAAAAATGATGTGGAAAAAAGGTGAAAAAAACAGGGTGAAAATGGGGTGCAGGAAAAAATGATGTGCAGAAAAGAAAAGCGGGTGCAGAAAAGAAAGTGAGGTGCAGAAAAAATGTGAAAAAAATAGGGTGAAAAAAATGGGGTGCAGAAAAAGATGTGCAAAAAAATCTAGGGTGCAGAAAAGAAAATGGGGTGCAGAAAAAATGAGGTGAAAAAAATGGGGGAAAAAATGGGGTGCAGAAAAAGTGAAGTAAAAGATAGGGTGAAAAAATAGAGTGGAAAAAAAATGGGGTACAGGAAAAAATGATGTGCAAAAAAAAATAGGGTGGAAAAAAATGGGGTGCAGAAAAGCTAGGGTGCAGAAAAGAAAATGGGGTGCAGAAAAAATGAAGCAAAAAATAGGGTGAAAAAATAGAGTAAAAAAAAATGGGGTGCAGGAAAAAATTATGTGCAAAAAAGAATGAAAAAATATAGAGTGAAAAAAATGGGGTGCAGAAAAAA